TTTATTTAAATTCTGTTAAATATATTGAAATTCTAAAAGATGTAGAATTTGATTTATATACGATAAAATTAAGACAAATATACGATTTAAAAAGTCTAAAAAATGAAAGAAGTTGAGATGCTTTACTTTATTGGAGGCAAAAATATTTTATTTAAAAAGATTCAATAAATCTTGAAGCACTTATCGACGTTAGTGATCATCAAGATAATAGCTCATGATATTCTTTCTTTATATAGATTATCTTATTTTCCTTCCTTTCAATGATATAAAAATAAAATGTCTAAATCAACTATTCAAATATACATCTAATAATATATCCGGAGAAATTCAAAACAAGTTGATATTGACCGGATTTTATTTATTATTTTACAAAATATTAAGAGTTATATTTAATTTTTTGCACATAAAATAATTTTAATCCTAATGTATTGAAAAAAAAGATATCTTGCTTTATGATATAGAAAGCATGCATTAAAATTTATAACTAGATCATAAAATATTTCCAATATATAAAATATATAAAAGTAACAGAAATATATTACTTTATTTAAATTATTTATGATGTAATATTTCAGATTTATTATCTTCTAGATTTATTATATTTTTATCTGCAATTATATATGAAATAGAATAGTATATATCTATAATAATATAAGAATAGCCTTTTGAGAGCAATATTAGTTTTTTTATAATAACAAACATAATAATTTATAATACGAGAAGAAAATTATTAATTAAAATGTATTCAAATAATCTTTTTGCCAATGCGAATGAACAGTAATAAATAATAAAACTAATGTTACCACATAATTGGTACTTCAGTGCAAAAGGTTAAATTATTTAAATTAATTATCAAAATCGCCGTGATTGTTCATCGAAATGGAGTCGAGCAAGAAAAATAACATCACGCCTGAAGGGAAAAGAAGCAAGATATAAAAAATTTCTAATACTCATAATTCTGTATATATTTTGCTATTATTTAATAATCCAATAGGTCATATATGAAAAATACATGATATTGCGAATACAATATGTAACATATGGGAGATTAAATTCATAATATAAAGGTCTACGTCCTGTGATGTAAACGTACGACGATTAACGCGGATATAATAAAATGCAATAACGGAATTTATTTGCATACCGTCGATATTTATATCGAATAAATATCCAATCTCTTTTGTATGTAAGTATTTTTTCGCGGCATCTTTCCAACTCGATTCAATTCTTATGGTGCATATGTACAAGTACAAAGAGAATTATGCTTACATTCGCTGGCAGATATAATCCGTCGCAGCTCGATGTAAACGGGCATTCTGGAATCACGTTGTGTCCATTCCGGATATTTTCAGCTCTCGCGTGGAATAGCAAAACAATCGAACATGATACTCTTGCACAATTCGTTCCTTCTTTGCGTAAATGTTCCCAGATCACGCAACTATCTGTCGAAAAATAAAAAATTATTGTAAAATGTATGTTGTAGCAATGAAATATATTTATTATAACAAACCGCAAATAAAGGTATATTATAAGAAAAAAATAGAAAAGAAATTGCTAAATGCTTACCGATCACTTGATATTATTATACTTAATATAAGAAATATTTAATAATAAAAATATGAAATAAATAAAAAATAATATAAATAAAAGTGTGTTTCGTGCATGTAATAACATTTTTAAAAAGTTAAGTACAATTAATGTTAATTTTTGTTTAATTTATGTACCTAATAATATCATCAGAATTAATTTTATTCTGAATTTTCATGTTTTATAAAAAGGATTTATTGTAAAATAATTTACAATTACTATAAATTTACATTTATTATAGAATAATTTACAATTATTATTACATATTTACAATTATTATAAAGATTAAATTAGTATTTTTATGAAATTTATTAAATTTTCTAAGTCACAAGATTTTCAATATTATCATATATCTAATAATTGATAATAAGTAAAAATTAATAACTGATATAAATAAAAATCTATTGCAAAAATAAATTTAGTCAACTTAATCATTTAAGTCAATTTTATTTCAATATTCTTACTTTTTTATTATTATTATTTATTATTAAATATTTTACTAATATATATATAATATTTTTTCGGTAAATCATTAATAAAATGAGCATTAGTTAATGATCTCTTTTATTTTATACTTTTTATATTGTTAAATTTTATTTTATTTTTTTATATTTGTTAGACATTATAGACATTATTTATTAGACATGCTATTTGACATGTTATTTTATAGACATGCGTTACGCGTGCGCTATTTATCTTTTTAAACAGAAAGAGCAAAAATTATATAATACTATTACACTATTAAGAAGATATTGTCAATATCGACCGCAATCGCAATCTATCGCGATCACGACAGTCAATTAATCACGATAGATGGCGTGTACGTTTTTTATGGTGGCGCCACATCGTATTTTAAAGCGCTTGTATTACATGTATTTTTACATTTTTTTGTCAGCAAAAAAAGATGAACATCTAAACAAAAAACGTTTTTTTCATAATTTTTTTATACTTATACATACTTGTGGATTTTCAAATACTATAATGTCTTCAAAAATAGAGACATGAGATAAAGACGAATCTTCTTCATTCTTTTTTCATTCTGCAAATGTTGAATACATATAATCTTATCATGAAACATATCATGTATATACAAGATGTATATACAAGATGTCTGAATATATCAGGATAAAATATAAAATATCTCTAAACTATTGATTTTTTTTATTTGTATCTAATAATGTTTTATTCAAAACAACTAAACGCGATAAAAGGATCAATTGGCAACGTAAAAAAACGACAACAATGATACATTCAAAAATCGATTTACCATTTTTTAGAGAAGAATTATTATTATTATTATTTTAAATTATTTTCATTCACAAATTGAATACATTTAAAAGAGACATGATCTCACAAGATTTCGGATTTGTAGTTATTTTTAAAAAGACTTTTAATATATTATTTGTTATTAGTGTAAGATTAGATATGCAATAATAGATGTCAAAATATCAAGCAATAATAGATATCAAAATTTTCAACATTTTCGAATTTGAATCAAGTGAAATTTGTACGTGAAATCAATAAGATATAATAAAAAAATAGCTCGAATGGTATTGGTACATTCAACTCTTCATCGCAACTCTTCTCTATAAAAGATATTACCTTCGAATTCAATATAACATGAATTGATCCCGCAAGTTTCTTTTCTGATCCGATTGTACGCTTTAATGAGTCTCTATCTGCGTAGAAAAAAATACATGGCTTCCCGCGTTTGATGGGAAAACGCGATCCCTCGCTTATGTAAATCGACGTCTACAAGCGGACATCACGGTGAGCCGCTCTAGCTTATCTGTAATCTAAAACGACAATATAATCATAATCAAACACGTTTGTGTTTCCCTCGCGATGTTAATCGTAAAATTTCGCACGAACATCTCGCCCTTCGCGTGGAACTTCAGTGGCGTTTCGGCAACGTTCGGATACTTTCGACTCGCTTCGAGAGGAATGTGACTCAAATTTGAAAGTAACTAAGTTCACTATTGTCAGTGCCTCCAACATGCCTCCTAAATGCACGTCATAATAATGAATTTTTTTCTTACGTTGGCAAGTGCACATTTAATGAGAAATTTCGATGCAAAAAATTGATAATATATCTCTGGCTATATAAATTAGAATTAATTACTGAATTTCAATTTTGTGATAACAAGCCAGACGTTATCGACGAAATACGTTTCGAGTTAATATAATATTAATTACTCTTGAATGTTGAAAATGCTACTTTTAATGCATATTTTAATTGAATTAGATATAGATGAATGTATATTAATGAGACAAGAATTATTTACCCACAAATATACTGTTTATTTACTTGCGATTTCTTGCGAATGGATTTAAAATCGCGCATTAAATAGCGATATCTTCACAGACTTACTCGTAATTTATTTCTAATTTAACAATAAATAAAACGTGCAAGAAAATGAAAAAGTTATAGATTGAATAAATGGATTACGCGCGCCGTAATCAATTTAAATGACCCGTATAATTATTTCGATGACCTAACAAAATTATTTTCAGATATAAGAATCTGAGATATTATAGAATTATTTTCAGATCTGGCCAAATTTTTAAATATCTCAATGTTCTTTCTCAGCATACATATACGTTTGGTCATATAAAGTGTTTTCCATTTGAATAACAAATTACTAAATGTAATTTCTAAATTTAAATTCGAAATATGGACTCGAATATAATAAAATATTAATGTTTTTATAATAATAAATGCATTGCATTTGATACGAATTAATTTTGACCTAACTAATACAAAAGATAGTATTTAATGTGTGTACAGTTTCACGTTAATTATAAAGAAAATATATGTATTTACCTATTTGAAAATATATGTATTTACCTATTATATATTTGAAGAGTTGAATATAAATCGCGGCACGTAAATTGATATTTTCGAATCACAATCCTGTAATCTCCTGTAATTCCTCTTATTTTTAACGAAGCAAATGATAACTAAATATTGTGCTGTTGTATTTTTGCCAAATAAATAACTAAACAGAATAAATAAACAGAATAATTTTAATAAACAAACAGAAAAATTTTACGTTTTGCATTTATGCCGACGATCGAATTTGAATGATGCTTCTGCATCGATCATCGGTTTTCGGTTATCTTCGGTTTTCTTTGACGAACGAGAGAAACATGCCGCATGATTCAAAAATGTCACTGTTGTAAAAAAATGCTCTTTCGCAAAAGAAAATGATTACTCAACTATATAATGTGCTAACATTTTTATTGTTACATAGGATTCGAACGTACGTATTTATACGTGATAAATTAAATTATTACTTGCCGAAACGTTTTTGCAAAAAATACGTTTTGCAGTTAATTTACGGAAACGTTTTTGCCTGGGTGAAAGATTGAACTTCCCGCGGAAGGACTCGCACGAAATGCATCATGGCGCGTGAGCGCCGCGTCGTGGGCGCATGGACGCCGTTGTGTTCAGGGTCGACGCCGGTAGAATAATTCTCTTTTTCGCGTACGTTCGGTATTCCTGTGAGTTTTCAACCGTTCGCGACACGTTGAATCCTCGAGGACATCAATCGGGGCGCATCCGGGCGTGATATTTGCCGAACGGAAAATCGGAGAGCCGGTAGTTTCGTTGCGCATCGCCCGCGGAATTCTCGACGGCGAAGAGATGTCCCAGGACGACGACGTCGGATTTCTGTATAAAACGATGAGTAAGCTACACGGCACGGCCTATGAATTAATTCCTACGCTCATTTTCCGTGGAAGATCATAGCGTGCGGCTCCTCGCGATCGCGAGAGACGCAGAGTCGGCGGAGAGTAAAGTATCTCTCGTGCGATTGGAATCTCCCGGTGTGTCTTCCACTCGCCACACTCTCGGCATTTAAAAGCCGAGGGAAGTGAGCACCGTTTTGCTTCTCAAATCGATGTCAATTTCCGCAGATTAACTTTAGTCTTGGTTTAACATTTAATTTTTTAGTTCTAAAAGTTAGGAAAAAATAAAAAGTGAATTAAATCAAGAGTAAAATTAATAGACATTTAAAAATCGATGAAAACACGTTTGTTTTTCAAGAAAATTTCTATCAATGTAAATTAACTGTAATCTCGATTTAACAATCTGTTTTTTTTTTTTTTAGTCTGAGAATTAGAAAAAAAGAGTGAATTAAACTGAGATTAAAATTAGTAGACATTTAAAAAACTGGAGCAAGCTATTTTTCGAGCTAATGTAATGATCAATTTCTACTAATGTAATGATTAACTTTAATATTTTATTGTTCTAAAAATTATAGAAAGATAATGAATTAAATTGAGATTAAAATTAATAGATATTGATAAAAATGGACATAAGTAGTAATGTAATTTGGGATTAATAAGGAAAAGTGACTCACGTAAAATACTTTTGTGTGAAATAAATATGTAGATTATCATAGTTAAACATAGAAATGCATCTATTTATAAATTAATAATAAGTGAGATGTAATTATTTATAATCAAACTTTCTTATATTATATTAAGTACTGGTTTTATATTTATGTGTATATTTCTAATATGTTTAATTATACGTGTTATTTTTCTTTCCTTTTACTCATTTTAATTCACTTATCGCTATTATAACTATTATTCTCTAATGAAATTACTGCTCAAGTTATTAAGTAAACATTGTGAACAATATTAGTTGTATTATTTGATTAATGCACATACTAAACACTTTGTAATAAATTACACTCCCAATACATTAATATAATCATTGTATTTCTACCTTGGTGTGCGACATACGCAAGCGCGCGCGCGCGCGCGTGTTTATTCGTTAGTTTCTATCATTGCTGTTATTATTGCAATCGATACATTATTAAATCGACGTGTGTCAGCAACTCTGCATTATGAATATAGTAACCGGTTTTGTCCTTTGTGAATGCATAATAATGACCATAATCAACTACTTTATTATTATTATTATTATTATTATTATTATTATTATAGCAACCTCATTTGCTGACGCGTAAAATTAACCTAACGTATTATCGGCACACACAACATACACACACACACACACAATACACACACGCGCGCGCGCGCAAATTCGCGTGTGTGTTTCGCGAGTGACGGTGCCCGATGTCTGCACCAACGGGCGAGACTCCGAAAAAGAGAACGCGGTGATATCCGTTGAAAAGTGATAGAGAAACGATAGATAGATCGCGTCGCGAAAAAATACTCCAGTTTATAGAAGAATTTTTCGAGATATTAAGAAATTATCATGAGTAGCACGTGTACGTTTAGAGAAATTGAGCAAGCATAACCTAAAATTATTTGTGTGTTGTATATTTATTTTTCATAAAAATATCAAGCAAATATCAGTAGTTTTCTATGTGTTAATAATTTGTAAATATTTTTAGATGTTGTTCTTATAAATTGTATATGGGAGAGAAATTATTTATATATATTTTTTTGTAATAGAATATTCAAATAATGTATGTTTAGAAAAGAATTAATTAAATTGTCTTTTTTTGTAGTTGAGAGAGATCCCAAGAAGAGAAGAGTGAAGCCAGTCGAATCGGCGCAGCAGTCTTTACTTGATTTTGATTTAGGTGAAAGCTCAGATGACAGTGATTTTAGGATTGAGGATCATTGTGAGGAGTCGGATGATGATTCTGTGGATTCTAATGATGGAAAAGGTAAGGTAATAATATTGATGCTACAATTATGAAACTTTTTATTAAAAAAACATAAAAAGACATATTGTAATATAGAGTACAAGGTACAAAATACATTGTAGAAAGGTTTTGTTGTAAAAATAAAGAGAATACATAAAGAAATAAAGAAATTTATTTGCATTAGATAATCTATTATTTAAATATTATTTAAAGTAGTAGTTATATTTAAAATATATTTGTTACAGGAGAAGATGCATCTGAAGAATCTGACGATTCATTGGAAGATCCATTATTGGGAAGAAAAGATGGTACAGGTTTAACAGTAGGAGATGTGATAGAACAAGCTCGTCAGCAAGCACTGAAAGGTGCTCCTCTTGACGATAAGCTAAATAAAGTATTAATTTGTTGTGGTTGTTTGGGAGACAGGAGTGATGACATAAATGAGATTGTCGAATGTGATGGATGTGGGGTCAGTGTTCATGAAGGTATATATTAATTGAAAACATTAGTTTATATTTATACTAAAAAATGTTTATATATTTTACAACAGAAATGAAATTTCAGGTTGTTATGGGGTATCTGATGTAGAAAGTTTCTCTAGCACAGACTCTTTGTGTCAGTCGGCACCATGGTTTTGTGAAGCTTGTAGTGCCGGAATTGAAGATCCATCGTGCGAGTTATGTCCTAATAAAGGTGGAATATTTAAAGAGACAGATGTTGGGAAATGGGTTCATCTAGTATGTGCTCTTTATGTACCTGGTGTCGCTTTTGGCGAGGTAAATAAATGTCATACTATGCAATTGCGTTTCGTATAAATTTATATATTTAATATTTAAATATTCATCTTTAAATGATATTTAAATACTCTATTTTTTTTAGGTTGACCGTTTATCGAGTGTAACGCTATTCGAAATGGCATACAGCAAGTGGGGTGCAAAAACATGTTCTTTATGCGAGGATTCGTGTTACGCACGCACAGGCGTATGCATTGAATGTGACGCCGGAATGTGTCATACATATTTTCACGTGACCTGGTAATATTTTTGTCGAGAATACATTTAAATATTATTATTTGTCAGAGTTTATGCTCTATGGATATAAAATACAATTATTTTTGTAGTGCGCAAAGAGAGGGCTTGCTATCCGAAGCACACAGTGAAGAAGTCGATCAAGCTGACCCATTCTATGCACATTGCAAATTGCACTCCGATAAATCTCTTGTTCGTAGGCGTAGACGTAATTGGCTAGCCTTGCAAATGCGTGCACAATATCGGCAACAAATGTTGCAACAACCTAATCATTTAGATACAGACGAACAACGTAGGATTCAAAGAAAATTAGCCAAACATAGACACAAGTATTTAGCTCACAAAGCATCTCGTCCACCACCGTGGGGTAAGATGATATTTTCTTTCAAATGTATATCAAGTACATTTTTAATAACGTACATTGATTATAGTACCTACACAAAAGATGCCACGTTTATTAACTACATCTGCTTCTGCTTGCCGTCAATTGGCAAGAAAGGCTGAATTAATGGGCGTAGATACAGCTGCATTAGAAGCACAAGAGTCTCAGTTAGTGGCGTTAGTTGACGTTAGGAAGAAATGGCATATCGCTCCCGCTTTCAGTGTAGAATTTATCGGCTATTATTTGGATCGGAATTTACGCGTGACATCAATGAAGAGACGATTGCAAGAACTTCTCGATATCAACTCGCAATTATTGAATGAACAACAAAGACTGGACAGAAAGTACGACGAAGTGATGAAGGATAATGAGGAGCAGATTAGAGTGAACGTGACATTAAAAGAAAAGATTGAACTGTATCATCAAGTACTTAAAAGCGCCGGTTTCGTAAAGCCTCTGCCGTCGATCGCTGATTTAGTGAAGCCAAGAATAACCTCCACTCTTGGTAAGTTATGACTCCTAGATCTTTAAAAATAATAAGTACATGAAATGTTTTCTAGGTACTGGATTAGGTGTACCTACGGCAGCTGCCTTAAAAATGGGCGTTGGATTTCCATTGCCTGTGGGCAAAGGTGCCGAAGGTATACGCGAAGGTAGAGTGTTGAGCAGCCAGGCGCAAGAACAAAATCATAAAAGCGAGTTGACAACTTTACGACATCAGTGCGGCATCTGCAGACGATCAACTAATCAACATCTTCTCGCTAAATGCGACACATGTCATTTACATTATCATTTGTCTTGTTTGAGTCCACCTCTAGCACGAATGCCGAAAAAAACACGACAAATGGGATGGTATGTATGAAAATAATTGCTCGATATGTCAACTACTGGAGTTATTCAATTTTTTTAATGTTATAATTTGCAGGCAATGCTCCGAGTGTGATAAAGAATCATCTGGATCAGAAGTCGAACGTGTTGACACATCGGCACCTCGCAAATTAAGGCATTGTAAGGACGAAAGTAACTTGACACCTACACCGCCACAAGAAGTGCAAGCGATTGCGACACCGAGCACGCCTACTACATCAAAAAATTCTACCAATAATATAACAAACGTTACTGCACCTGACATACATACAACACCAAAAGTATTTATTTTACAAATAAAAAATGAAAATTTAACTTGATGACGTTCTGTGAAAACGAATATATATCTTTATAGCTGACTATTAAACCAATGGGACCGCAACCGTCAACTGTAGAACCTGCACAAGTATCTGAGTCAGTATATAATCAACAATCTGTTAATAATATCACAATAAGAGAAGGTTCACCAGAGTATATGGTAGCTTCGACGGATGGAACAGAAATGGTCTCACAAAGAAGTGGAAAAAAGAGAAGGAGGTATGCAAAATAGTATGAAGAAATAATGTATACATATCATATTTATGAAAATCAATAATAAATTATATTTAATATATTAATATAAATACTTTTTTATGTTTAGGGAAAAACATAAGAGATATTCGCCGGACCCAATAACTGGAGTTAAACAGAGGAAAAGAAAACATAAGAGGAAAAGTTTAGATATAGAAAATCCAGAAATTCAAAGTCAACCAGAAGTTCACAGGAGAATCACAATAAAAGTATTCATTATTCTTTTTATTTTATTTTATCATATTGTCTATATGGATTCGTTATATTAATAACAATAATTACTGAATGCAGATAAAACCAATTCGTCGACCAGAAGGACACACGGACTCAGAATCGAGTCCGCAAATGTTCGTGGCCACTTCAAGCACTGAAATTACATTGCCGCCACCACCCGCACCGCCTCCAGCTGCAAACGTACCCCAGGTAAATGTATCCGTGAATAGCAGTGGTCGACTATCGACGGGAACGAAGAGAGGGAAAGATACGGATCTTATGACGCATTGTAACGTCTGTGATACGCCTGGCACGAATCAAAATCTCGTTATGTTAGTATATAAATGATAATAAATAATTTTAGATTATAGACATGGGAATATAATCAAAAGATATTATAATAATTCTTGTCATTAAGCATATTACTATATCTGTTTTATCAGGTGTGACGAATGTAAGAAATGCTATCACTTCACATGCTTAGACCCTCCTGTGAAAAAGTCTCCGAAAAGGAGAGGCTATTCGTGGCACTGTGCCGACTGCGACCCTAGTGTAAGTTCATAAATTTTTACTGTTCATAAACACCAATATTTTTGAATACTAGATTGATGTACTTTCTATTTTGTCTATACATACATATAGATATATAGAAACTTTTAATAAATAGCCATACAATGCCAGATAACTATTTTTTTATATAGTAGTTTCTTTTTCTATCCAGATACAATATTAAAGAAAATAATAAATCAGGATAATTTTATACATAAACTATTGACAACAAATAGAGACAATAAGCACTACCTGACAAAATATAAAGTACTTTAATCTGAAATGTACATGAATAAATTGATCGAGCTGGTTTCACGAGGATGAATCAAATGGAAAGGATAGATACGTCGTCTTATGAGAATGCAAAAATTAATATTACAGGGAAATGGGAACAGAAAGTCTTTTTGTCTGATGCAAATTAAATTATATTTATTTTTATTTTGTGACGTGCAGCAGACTAGAATAATACTTGAACTCCATTTTGTGTCTTCCTTAATATTGTCAATGGGGATATATGACATTGGCATATTAAACTAATAAAAGAAAGAGATTTTTTTATAGTAAAAATATTTCTTTCATTTCAGGCCTCTGAAACTGAGACTTAATATCAACAATTTTCTATATCTGCAGCTCCAATTCCACGTTTATAAATAAGACATTCAATGTTATTCTGTTTTTTTTTTTGTAAGACACTTCACAAGAACATAGAAGAGAAAAACTTACTGTAATTTAAAACAAAAAACGAGTTTTATGAAAATCTGCAAATTCCACTTAAAATTCATTTATTTAATCTTAGCATAGTTTTCGCTACTTATTTCTCATTATTTCTTTTACTGATTTTTTCATAATGCGCGCGCGCTTTGTAGTTTTATATAGCAATTCTACGAGAAGATATATATATATATATATATATATATATATATATATATATATATATATATATATA